ACTTGCTCTGAGCAGTGGCTTGGACTAGATGACCTCCAGCCCTAATTTTCTTTGATTCTATGATTAGTTCTCAGTCGAGGTGCACTGATATATTGGTCCCATATCAGATTGGCAGCAATATAAGGAAAGCTGACAGTATTGGCCATTGGGGTTTTTGGCTAATGTGGCCAATAAATGCCCCACACATGTCTGCAGCTGCAGCGCAGCATCCAAGTGGCCAGGAGCACAGCCTAGCGGTGTGGAGAGCAGCTGGGTCCAGTTAATAAGTCTGTTGTGGGGGAAGGGATGGGGGGGGCAGATAGAGGCCCCAGTGATAAGGGAGCTGAGGCAGCAAGAAAAAGAAACGTTCTATTTGGTTCTTTTCTGAAGTACAGGGGACCTAGGATTAGAATTTCTGAGTATCTTCTCTTTTGCTTTCTGTGAGTTTTTATTTGACTGAATAAATACTGTTTTGTAGGCACTGGATTATGGTGAATCTTTACAGTTTTCAGTTTATTCTCACTTGTTATCTGATGGTTAAACTTGATTTTTTCCTCCCTTTCTCTCATTAGCAGAGCTACCTACTTCTTTCCTTTAGAAAGCAAAATTAGCACCCATATAAATAACCCTGTCTTTAATATGCTATTCAAAATGTTTCCAGTTCAGTCACTGTTAGCACCCTTGTGAGCCACAGCACAGACAGTTTTGCTTGCTGCAACCATTTTAAGTAACATGTAATTTTAGTCTGTTCAGAACAGACCTAATCAACACAGTATTTAAAGCAGAGGCAGCAGCTAGAGCAGGGGTGAGCAAAATACAGTTCATGGGCAGGATCCAGCCCACCAAGAGATTTTATAAGGCCTGCAGTGGGTCCTTTGGCTTTGCTCAGCCCAGCTGCAGGACAGCCAAGGCCGTGGCATGTGTGGCCAGTCCTGCTGGCACCAGGCATGCAGCAGGGCTGGGGTGGCAAGGCAGTCTGATTCACTTCCTGGTAGCCCCCACAGCAGCAGCTCCTTCCAGCTGCTGCTGCCAATTTCCAGCATTGCTGCTAGCCCCACTGCCAGAGCACCGTGGCCTATCTGCCCTGCACCCATCACCAGATAAAGCAGGTGAATGAGATATCCATGGAAACTAGCCCAGGACCCACTCAGGCAGGGTGCATTTGGCCGAGTGGATATGATGTGACCTTGACTGGGTGGTGAGCAGCATCTGCAGGTGAAATGGGCAGGCAGGGCTGGGGCCAGAGCTGGGATTGGGATCATAGGGCAGTGCCAGTGTGGGGCAGGGAAAGAGCTACGATCCACTACCATGTACGCAGGGAACAGACTGCAAATCACTGCTCTGCCCTGGGCCCTGCCCCATGCTGTCGCAGCTCCATGATCCCGATCCTGGCCCTACTAACCTCCCAGATGTCGCTCTCCACTCACTTGCAGCCCCATCCCATTGCCTAGCTGAGTGTGCCCTGCCTGCGCAGGGCTGGTCTTCACGGAGACTCCGGAATCGCTGAGTGGTCACAGAGTGGGGCCAGGACCTGGTGCTGAGTCGTGATCTGTTCCCCACATGCTGCTGCCCATGGAACCAGCACCCACCACAGAGGCATGCGAGGAGTGGATCACACAGCTCAGCCCTGGGCCCCAGCCCCATGCTGTCACCACCCAACTATCTTAGCCCTGCCCACACATCCTGCCCTCCCACAGCCCCATCCCATCCACCCAGCCAAGCACAGAGCAGAAGCACTTAGGGAGTTTTGGTGAGCTGTTGCTGGCCAGGTAGGGTGTGGGGGTGCTGACCTGGCCCACTGTGGTTGGGAGCAGGTGCTGATCTGGCCTGTGACAACTCACCAAAACTCCCTGAGTGGTCCTCCAGCTCACACTATTCCCCACTCCTGAACTAGAGACATCTCTAATAGGTTCCCGAATATTATTAACAACACTGAAGGTGAATTAGTATTAAGAATAGTAGGAATTTCCAAAACAGTTCTTTAGCTGAGAGGGCCAATGACAGTTTACTACTAGTAGTATTAGATTACAGTTGGTAATAAACAGAAAGAACAAGTATTTGTTCAACATCTTGTTTTTATAAAGATCTATTTGCTTATGTTATAAACTACTTGCCTTCTCTCTACTATGAGAAACTTTCAGTGTAGGCTGTAGACCTACCTATGCTATGATTTGCATGCCTCCTGAGAGGGTGGAAAATAATGATTCAGCTGGGGATTTCCCCCACCCTTCCATTGTGTCTGTTCTTTAGTTGGATGGATAATCCAGTTTTAAAGGAAATCTTTTTAAGCAGTATGGACCACATATGGTAAAGCAGATATGAAAGCCTGACTCACCAGAACTTTTGTAATTGTGAGTTATAAAGTCGTTAAACTGTGGTGGCTTAATGGCAGTTAAGGTGCCCAATTATGGCTTGTGAAAGTTTGTGGGTCAGATATGTTGTTGTTGTTGGGGGGGGTTATGACGAGGTATGCTTTTAAGACTCAAATGGTAGGTCTCTTATGAACATTTCCCCAACATGAAAACATTGATTACGATTCTATTTCTAGCCTTGTTGGCCATTCTGTTTGTCCACATAAAGGTGGAAAGACCTTGTTTATCACTATGCTCTTTAGTGTGCCCTGGAGACACCTCTCTCTCCTTTTACAGTCTAAGATAGACTGCTTCATCCAGGACATTTTAGGTTTCTTGTTGGAGGGGTTTTGTCTTCTTTGCATTAGTGCTGTTTTCTCAGTGTAGATACCAAGTACTGTTAAAAGTGTTTGGCACTCGTGCTTCCACAGTGGGATTATTTTGTAACGTGTTTGTGCTGCCAGTGCTATCATGTGAAGCCTATGGATACATTATGTAGCTTGCCAAAAATAATGAACCATAAGATTTCCTGCATAAGAAAAATATTATGGAGAACGTGTGACACATCTCGTGCCTTAACCACAGACTTCCAAAAATGTCTTCACTAAAATATGCTGATATCATGTGTAAATAATCCTACGGAAAAACAGATGAGAAACTAATATTGTTGTCTGTGCATTCATGACAAGCTAAGCAAGTGAAGTCTGTACCAAACAGGAGTCTTTTCTTTAATTTCTTGCTATATCTATAAAAAGAAGGGTCCTACATGGGCACTTTAGGCACGAGTAAGGCTGCCTTCACTACTATCACTGCATTTTTGTTGTATTCCTTATATTCCCATTAGTGCACCAGTGATGACACTGGGTTGCCCAGTCTCTGATGTATGGTCTCTCAATAACTTCTAAGGAAAATTTTATCATGTAGTCTTACTGTTAAGCATTCTTAGACAAGTTATCATCAGCCCATGAGCAGTAAGAACAGGTAAGCTGTTAAAATTAAGATACCCATTCTCTTGTCTATAGATGTGCATGGTAAAGAAGATGGGGGTGGGGCCGGTGAATGTAAGGAATTAGCTGGAGGGGAACAGGAGGAAGAGAGCAGAAATAGTCTCTAGAACTGGGGAAAGCAAATATACAAGGAAATGAGAGAAGGTGGCAAAGCTGATTTACAATGCCCAGTATTGCCTCCAGCAGTCAACAGCAAGCATATCATAATTACCTCAGTTGGCATCTTCTCACTAAAAACATTGTACACAAGATTAAGTAGAATTCAGTGCAACATTGATGAACCAGATTAGTCTTCTGATTGCCCAAGAATTGTTCAGGTCAGTTAACCATCCCCCTGACTCACCAAAACATGGTAGCTCTCTCTCATACGTGCACAACATCTACAACAAGCTCAAATTACACTGTTGCTTTCTGTATCTGCATACATTTTAATTTAAAATCTAAGTATTAAAACAATATGGGAGGTTTCTTAGATGTAAACTGAAAGGAACATAGATTGCAACAGTATCCAATGAAAGAAGTTTGAAGCTCTTCACCTGAAAAGCATTGTCCTGGTGGATTTTCTGTCAAGATATCCATAGATTCATAGAAGGGAAGGGACCTCACAAGATCATCAGGTCCAGCCCCCTGCTCTAAGGCAGGAAAGACTGCTGAGGTCAGATGACCCCAGTGAGGTGTGCATCCAGTTGTCCATTGAAGATCTCCAGTGAAGGTGACTGTACCACTTCTTGTGGGGGAGTCTGTTCCAGACTCTGGACACACAAACCGTCAAGTTTTTCCTTATGTCTAATCTGAAGTGATCTATCAGTTTATGACCATTATTCCTACTCTTCCCCTGGGGTAACTTGGTGAACATCTGTTCACATAGCCCTGATCTTCACCCTTTATATACTTAAAGACTGCCACTCAGTCCCCCCCCCCGCCGAGTCTTCTCTTTTCCAAGCTGAACTGTTCCATGTCCTTCAGCCTCTCCTCCTATGATCTATTCTCCAGACCTCTAATCATTTGTGTGGCCCTCTTTTGGATTCTTTTCAGCTTCGCTACATCCCTCTTGAAGTGTAGTGCCAAGAACTGGACGCGGTAGTCCAGCTGTGGCCTCACGAATGCTGAGTAGAATAAGACGATGACATCCTTAGTCTTGCTTGTGATGCATCAGTTCATGCATGTCAGAGCATTGTTCACTTTGCCAGCTATAGCATTGCATTGGCGGCTCATGTGGTGAGTAAAACCTTTTCTTTACTGTATTTGTTTTTCTGTCTCCTGCCTCCTCCTCAATGGTCTATTTTTTTCTTTTTTCCTTTTACCTCAAGTTTAGAATTTTGCTCATTATTGTATATGTCCAACAAAAGAGAGTAGTCATTTATTTCTTAGAAAAATGTTCAGCATTAAGTAATCTGTGTTCAGACTGTTCCTGACAAAAGACAATGTTTCCATATCAGCCTCTCATAAAACCTAAAAGGTTGTAGCTAGGAATTTTTCCTCTACAGAAAATGGGTACCTATCAGCCTACCTAGGTCTTTGGCCAGGTCAGAAATGGTATTTGTCAAACCTTGTGAAAACTAAACAGGGTGAAAAGACTGCCACCCTTTCATGGAGTGATAGCTGATTTCAGAGCTTTAAGTAGATCAGATAACTCACTGCAACTGAAACTGGTAACAGATTCAAGGTATTTTCTCCCAGTCTGTCTTCCATAGAGAGAAGAGAGATTGGATGCAACACAATTTGTTACTTGAACACTTTTTAATTATTTCCATTGTTTGCTAATTGCACATAGAGTATTTAAAGTTGCCTGCTGTTTCATGTATGTACTACAAAATATAAAGCAAATAAGTCAAATCCATTTATATTTTTCCCCAAGGATTTTTGTTTTAATTGACAGTCATTATCTCCACCACATGTGGTTTCTGTACACCTAGACAGAAATGACACTAAAAAACTGAAGTGAAAATGTCAGTAATATAAGGTGGTTTCTCCCACACCACTTAATTCTGTTAACGTGGCTAACATGTTTTATGGCTAATGTGGATAACACTTTTTCCCAGAATTCATTTACAATTATTAATCTCAGTGCAGCTTCTCAGTGAATACAATTAAGGAGGTGTATAGATGCCTATGTAAGTAGGACCATACTCCCCTGCTACAGAGAATGCAGGTGGGGCTGTAGCTGTGTGAAGTGAATAGAGGGCTTGTGGGTACTTAGGGGTTTGAAAAGGAGAGATCAGGGAAATTAGAGAGTTTTTCTTCTTTGCTTGGGCAAGGCTTTGCAATTTACCTTTAATATAAACATGCTATTTAAGTAACATTAAGATATGATTTATATTTATATATGATAAATTAAATGCAAAATTTAAGTGAACACACTGCTATTAATTTGTTCTATACAATGTAAATACTGCAGCTTATATATTTTAGATGTAAATTACACTGCTAGTCTACATGAAGTCTATTTTAAGTATAGCCTATGTCTAGTGGAGCTTATGTTACAACTTATGTTTTAACAGGAGTCTGTCAGGAGCAGCTGGGAGTTGGGATACATTTGTGTTTTGCATTACCAGGTCCATGGAAAATAGTACTTCAGGTATTCCTCCGTGGAGGAAGTGTTCTTCATTCTTCTTTACTGCCATTGGGCTGGGTCCCTTTGATTAGCATTTTTCTTTCCAGAGTGCCATATAGAATGGGAAAGCAGGGAACAGAGTATTAGTTACAAGAAGTACAGTAAAACTGATCAAGTGCCTTTAGAGAAGCATGATGCGTATTCCTAGCACTGTTGGCAGGATCGTGCGTTACTTGTGGTCTGCTATAAATGATCCCCTAAATGTTTAAGGTATTGAGTTGTTCTAAGGGTGCAAAGGAAAAGGTGGAGGATTGAATATGCAGCAGAGAAGTAAAAGAATGAAACATGAATGAGCATTTAACGGGGCACAAGAAGTTACTTCTTCCTGCTTTTCAGAATCTAGTTGCTGAAAGAAGTGGAATGGTGGTTCATTTAAGTGGAACTCTTCCCTCTGAGTCAGTGTTGTACCAGTAGCCCGCATGCTGACAGAGCAGCTATATATATATATATATGTTCTTCCTCACTGCCATTGGGTTGACCCCCTTTGATTGGCATTTTTCTTTCCAGAGTGGCATATAGAATGGGAAAGCAGGGAACAGAGTATCAGTTACAAGAAGTCTATATAGTGTGCGTGTGCGCATGCGCACACGCACACACGTCAAGAGTGATGAAGGGGGAAGGCTGGGGATGGAGTGCCACCACCCACCACCCCGCACTGCCGCTCTTCCATGCTTGGCCACATGCCACGCACCCCCACCTAACCCTGCTCCACACTGCCACCATCTCTCAGGAGCAGTGGGGGTAGGGGCAGCTTGCACACGGCCAGATGTTGAGTGGCGGCAGCGGTGGGTGGCAGTGGCAATCACTGCTGCATGAAAGCTTTCCCTCCACTTCTTGCTCCTGGGAGGTGCTGGCGGTGTGGGGTGGTGGCCCCTTTTCATAACAATGGAACAGAGTCATAGCTAGTTCCCAATTTGGATAACTACTTCCTGTTTTTGCAATTGGCTACAGTGATTCTCAGTGTACCCTTCAGAAAATGCCAGCTTTTAGTTCTCCCTCTTTTTTTTTTGACTGCAGGAAAATAATAATAAGAGTAATTTGTCTGTTGCAAAGAACTCAGAAAGACCACATCAAGTCAGAACATTTTTAATGCTATGGATTTCTATTTGAAATCTTTGGGGGTGTCGACAGAAGTGACAGTTTTGCCCAATCTGCCTAAAGAAAGTGGTCTATAACCATGACCAAACACAAGTACATGGCTGCAGACAGCTTCAAAAAATGGTCAACTGGGTGAAAATCTGAACCCACCTTGCATGAGGGTTCCAATGAAGATGTTTCAAAACATAGCGCCTTCTGTAATTTGTGTCTCTGCTGCCTCTCAGCCTCCGAGCTATTTTCAGAATGGGAGGGGGAAAAGATAGTAGAGGGAGTTTGGCCTGGGGTTTTTTCAGCCCACACTAGAGGGTGGGATGGGTATACTGGTGACCACCACCCCCAGGTGGAGGGGCTCCAATTCACCCACCCCACCCTCCAATGTTTTCTGAAGAACCCCTACAATGAGATCCCTCTGTTCCATTCCCCTACTCCCATTCTGAAAACAGGGACAGTCTGGAAAGGATGAGGGGGCAGATCAAGGTCCCCCCATGGAGAAGGAGGCAGTGGGCTGGGACAGGTGCAGGCACTGCCCAGCCAGGACAGGGCAGGGTGTGGGCCAAAGCCACGGGCTGCTCATCCAGGGATGCAGTTGAGGGGCAGTTTCTGGCCACTGTGCACGCCCCTGGGGGAGGCATGAGGGGCATGTGCCCCTTCAGATCTGTGCATGGAGTGAAGGTAGGCTGCCCACTGTAGGCTTGAGGGTGAAGGCTGTGCTGGCTTCTTCTCAGTGGAGGGGCTAAGCCAGGGCTGTGCTTGGGGCAGGTGGGGCAAAGCAGGCAGCAGCAATGCTGGGAGGGGGGACTATGTGGGGAGGCTGCAACCACCCCAAAATTTGCTGTAGCCCCCCATAGTTTC